ATGTAAGATTACAGCCTGAAATAAACTTGTTTCTATTGGAATATTACTTTGGCAGCAACCATTTGAGCCATTACAAGTGAAAGATCGAGTAGCAGTAGCTGTTATACAGTTAGAAACGCATCCAACTTCTTTGAAATACCCGTAACCGATTGATAGAAAATGAGCAGATATGTTACATCCCGCTGCTATGTAGACATTTTTTTTATGTGAATAACTAAAGTGTAGGTCCAGTTGAACTACATGAGTTGATATATTTCCGGAATTATTACAATTGAAACGCGAATTACCAGTTACACGTACGGAATCCATGGATATTTCTAAAATGGGGAATTTATTCTGATTCACAAACCAAAGATGAGCAGCATCTGGTGATGATTTATTGCACGAGACTTCAAATGACTTGTGCATGTAACAACCGATCCCAATGCCATATGCCATATGGATATGGGACAGTTACGTTACCGCATGTCTCCTGGCAACCAGGCTTCGCTAGGGAGGCTCGTGCCTCGTGTACCCACAGCAATAATGATACAACAAGCATGAAAGATTTTGGTAGCATTTTGTATGTGTTTTTGGGTTTTGTTAGGATTATTGAGCAAAATGACTTAGAGATAAACGCTTATAGGCAATTATCTTAACTTTATTGTTTGGAAGTATCAAAATACGTATTCATTTGGAAACATTTTCTTTAATCTTCTCGTAGCAACATTGTTTATATTTACAATGAGCATAGGTAATGTGCTCCAAGCTTTGTGATAATCACCACTACTTTTATCACCTACAAGCATTCAAGAAGGCTAAAAGAGCTCTCCACGAATTTGATTTACATCCTTCGACCTCTATACACAAATTTCGAGTTATTTGCTAAAAAAAGGGCAGTATTCAAAAAGGTTGGTAGAAATATATTTGTTTTAAATGTCTTCGTAAAAATAGGGCTCCTCGCCACTAAATAAAAATGTATATTGAAATGAAGGATCTCTCACAACTTACAACAATGATCATTTCTTTTTTATTATATGTTCAAAATTTTATCTTTTTATATATTTTTTTTCTACATTTACCTAATTTTTGTAGCTTAAATATATTATTAAAGTTTATATATAGCATTTAATTGTTCTTACTACACAAACGATCTCATTTATATTCCAAAATTTTAGAATATTATATACTATTTCAATTATACAAATACAATTAATATATACATATTGTTAGAATCATACAAATTAAAAAATAAATAGTAATATTTATATATGATTTGTCCAATCAAATGCTGAATCTATAAAAGCAAACACTCTATCCAAAACAAAAGCAAACACTCTATCCAGAATAAAATGTCACTATTTATTGAAAACTCATAAAAACTAGAGTTGCATGAACTGTCATGTCTAAAAATTTTAATTGAATTCGTTTTACTTTTTGATGTTATAAATTTGATCTTACGAGCCAAGGTTCTTCATCATTCTTACAAAATTGTTTCCACGCAAATATACATTCTCAGTCTTTCATGCTTCCATAATATTCACATGATTAGTTCTTTCATATGTTTAATATAAGGTATATATAATTTCTAAATATTTTTGCATATTTTTTTGTCAAAACGCTATATATATAATACTAATTTGCATCTGTTATCATATGATTTGTCTTGCAGTTATATTTATGGCTCTAAATCGTCCATTTATGATTACTCTCTATTGGGGTGGCAAT